CACACTGCAGGGACTCCTTTCCAGCTATGATCCACACATCATCTCGATGACTCCACAAGTGGGACAGAAGCCAGATCTGCCCTGGGATGGTCCTTCAGAATCTGAGGAGCAAGAAAGGGTTTGGCAGAGTTTGGGGATGACTCCATCGCCCCCACTCAGAACTGTCACAGCCACCCAGCCAGTCTGGGCCCTGATTTTGCAACATGTCCACCCTGTAGCCAGTTCTGTGGCCTCAAGGAAGGACCGAAGATCCCCTCATCTCTGAGAAGCAAGACTGGTATTAGCTTGCTGAGTGTAAGAGACACACATGAAGAGGAGCAAAGAGCCGGAGAAAGCAAGAGGGCACAAGAAGGCAGTATGAAAATATGGGGAGCTGACACAAAAGGGGGATACAATTCTAAAGAAATATTCAGTAGCTTTGGGTAAATATTCAAAATTCACCCACTGATATCCCTTGTGCACTAGCAGCAAGGGCTGCCACAAGAGTATTCGTCTCCATTTATTAAATACATACACTTCTTACAGGAAACAGATCTCTGGGATCTTTTTGGTGAAAGTCAGTTTGATCTGCTAACAGTGAAAAGGTCTACTTTCTAGTGTGATTTTGTTCGGAGGAAGCCAGATTTTCAATGCTGTTCTCTTCTGCTCGGAGCGCCCACCCTCTTCTTCAGAAAACCAATGTCTGGAATCCCTCTGGGCTTACAAATAGACTCTTTCCAGCCCAGGCTAGCTGGGAGTTCAGAACCTTGGTAAAGAAATATACATATCCTGGCTCTTCTGTTCCTGTTTTCACTTCATATTAGGCCAGCTTTCTGTACCACATTGGCTAAGTCTAACAATTAAGAGATGAGGCCACTCTGCCAATAGCATACTATTGGGTTCCAATGGGAAAAAGCTCTTTACTCTTTGAAGACAAGTAAAATTTTGAATGTATTTCTCTGATGGATGGCAATGTAAATGAGGCTGCATGTGACTGGAGATGGTGATAAATGCTACTTTCTTAATTTAATCTGTCCTGTCCTACCTGCTGTTCTGATTGTCGGCCATCACATAATAATTTATTGCAGGCTTGTCACATCCCAGGCACTGTGTTCAGTACTGTGCATAAATTTCATTTAATCATCCAACAATCCTACTTTTTTATTCTCAATTTACTGGTGAGGAAACAGGCATAGAAAGTTAAAATAATTTGTTATAAGTCACTACAGTAGTTGAGATGTTTTTAGAAGACAAAAATAAACGGTTCTTAAACATGAAAATGTTCTTCCATTCAAAATAAAAATCCAACTTAAAATGCACAGTGATATACTTAAGATTAGCCAAGATCAAAAACTTATATTAAGACTCCTAGTTGGCATCTAGCAAGCATCTAGGAAAACAGACGCTCTCATACTAGCTGATGGGAATATAAAGTGGTTTGACCTTTCAAGAGGACAATATGACCGTGTCTTTCAAAATTATAACAGTAATAACTTCTAGGAATTTAATTTTCAGATGTTAACTTCCACACTAAATGTGAAATGACATGTGTAAAATGTTATTTATTATAGTATTATTTGTAATAGCAAAAGATTAGTTACTATGGAAACAAAAAAAAGCTCTAATGCCTTCTGAGAAAAGATATCCAAAACAGACTAAGAGAAAAGGGGCGATTATACACCAGTGTGTAACATATGCTGCTATTTGTCTAAAGAAGAGAGAAGTGAGTAGCTGTTAACCTCATCCTCGCCACTCTAGCTTATACCCATCATTCATTACATACCCTGCTGTGCCCGCTGCCCCTTCCCTAACCCTCCAACCCTTCCTGCTTCTTCTAGACATACTGCATGTGTACACACATATTTCCTTTTATTAAAAGCCCAAATGGTATATTTTGCATGCTGTTCTGTACTTTGCTTTTTACACTTTATACTTACACATAAAGGATTTTCTCATTCTACTTCATAGAATGTATACCATTCCACTGAATGGATAAACCATAATCAATCAGTTCCTCACTGACTGACATTTCCATTGTTTCTTATCTTATGCTTATAATGCTGTAATGAATATTCTTGTACATATGTTATTTCACATTATATCTCTGGGATAAATTCTTTGAAACAATTGCAGTTTGTGGGGAGGGTGGATAGGAACAATACTGGGAGACTTTTCACTGTTAAGCCCTTTTGTGTCTTTTTAAACTTGTACATGTATTACTTATTCAAAAAATAAAATATTTTTAAATACAGCTGTTGGCCACAGACTGCTTAAATGTCCCTCATTCTATACATTTATCTGATTACACTTCACAATTAAAGCCAGTTGATAAATATTTCCAAATTTTATAAAGCAAACTTTCACTAGCCATGATGGCATACACCTGTAATCCCAGCCCTTGGGAGGCTGAGGCAGGAGGAGCTCAAGTTCAAAACCATCCTGGAGTATATAATGAGACCCTATCTCAAAAAACAAAAACAAATGAACAAAAAATAAAGCAATCTTGGCTGGGGATTTAGCTCAGTGGTTCTGCTGCCTGCCTCGCAAGCACAAGGACCCGAGTTTGATCTCCAGTACCAAAAAATAAATAAATAAATAAATTTTAAAAATAAAGCAATCTTTCACTAAGCAGCCCGGTAGCATTTTTATGGGGAAAGGACAAATGGATTTTAAGAGAGCAATTATAAGTACTAATCTTAGATATCAAGAAAAATAAAGGTAAAATAAATAAATAAATAAAAATAAAAATAAAGGTGTTTCTTGCCTTTTGGACAAATATGCAAAACGATAATATTGCCACGGACAGTGTTAGGCCCTGCTGAAGGCCAGATGCACAGCATTACTTTGGGGCTAGAGTTCAAGGGAAGGCTATCCACTCCTTATACCTGGTTGCTCCTGCCAAATGCAGCACCCTACTCTGATGCTTTGTTTTTGTTTTGTTTGGTTTTGTTTTTTTGAGACAAGGTTTTGCTATGTAGTTCAGGCTGGCCTTGAATTCATGGCAATCCTCCTGCCTTGGCCTCCTGAGTGCTGGGCTTACAAACAGGTGCCACTATGCCCAGTTTAATCTCTGAACAGATTTTCTCCTAATCCCTTCAAACTTTCCCACACATTCCCTGGGTTTAATCAGAGAGGGAGGGAGGAAGGAAAGGAGGAAAAGGAAAGAAGGGGAAAAGAGGACAAGGAGTGTACTGCCTAACATGCATGAGGCCCTGGACCTGGGTATAATCCCCAGCACTGCAAAAAAAAAAGGGGGCGGGGGGACGGGGGTAATGACATCCAGGTACCTGTTTGTATAAAGTTAAAGCCAATTCTGCAGCAAATAAGGCCTTGACAATCTCTCCTGGAAAGTAATAGGAAAAGTAAAGATCTTCCAATTGATATGGGAAAAGTATAAAGTTTTCCTAAATGAATTTGGACAGTAAACAAAAGTTGTGAAAACATCCGTTGGCATTTATGGCCAGTTGGGAAGAGGGTATCTGGCTAGAAAAGGGCCTGCAGAAGAACCTAAATCTGTTTACAATGTTGATTACTCAAGCAAATGGCTCAGTGTCCTCTTGCTGCTGTCATTATCCCTGCCCTGTGTTTTTAAATCACCCCCTCCCATGAAGACTTCTTGGTGCCACATCCAGTCCTTTCAGTGTAAAGTCAGGTGATTTTCCCTAATCCACCTATTTCTAAACACAGAATTCCAATTCTCCCACTCATAGTAGATACTTCTATATTTCAAGGGACCTTGTTTCTGGCCAGTTGACCACGGGAATTTAATGGGATATATATTTAGCAACTAAAGCTATGCTCCTTAGACTCTGGAATTTTAAAACCACCAAATCAATAAATAAACTATAAAAATATTCCAGAATAGGTTCTAACATTTAAAGTGTAGCAAGATGTCTTTTGAACAATGATGAAAGGACTTAAGTAGTCTGAACTGAAAATCTTATTAGGCCAGGTACTGGGCCAACTTTCTGTCTTAGTAATGTGAGTATGCAGACATTTCCATGGCACACTGCTTTCTGCCTCCTTCCATGGGCAGCTAAGAAATCTGTTCAGGCTTCCAAGAATTCTCTTCTTTCTTCTAAACACATGATAGGTTTGATTTCTCTAAATTCTAGGTTCTCTTTTTTTCTTGACAGGGTCTCGCTGTATAGGCCAGGCTGGCTTTGAACTCGAAGCAAGCCTTCTCAGCCTCCTGAGTGCTGGGATTACAAGCATGCACCACTATGCCCAGAAGGTCTAGGTTTTCTCACATTGCAAGTTCTAGGTTTTCTCACATTTCCATTTTTTTTTAATGGCAAGTTTTCTTATTAAATAACTTTAGTTCCTACCCAGTTTAGCAAGTTTTTGCTGTAACAAACTTTTAGGCTCCCAAGAAAAAGATGGATTTAACAAATAATTCTTCCAGAATCAACCCAGTTGTGGTTTCCTCAACTTTGGTATAGTATTATTTGTTGTGATGAGACATATAAGTATGAGACATAATTATTTAAAAGATTAAACAACACACTTATACTAAAAAAGCTACTGTTTACCTGAAATTCAAATATAACAGGGCATCCTGCATTTCATCTGGTAACCCAAACGGCCATTATCTATTATCTACAATAACAAAAAGACTACTTCCTGCTCTGAATGAGACCAAAGACATTTGGCGAAGCAACATATCCCAAAAAGACTCAGTTACTGTTCACAGACTCTTCAAATGTCTACATGAGTATAAAGAGGCTATTTTTCAAGTAATTCAGGTATCTGCAGGGGTTTGATCCAAGTCTTCTGGTGGACAGGCTCTTGGTTTTATGAATCCTAGCAGATTGACAAGTCAGACAATAAAATGTATCTGCCCTATCACATGGGAAGTGGCAAATGAGCTACAATACAAAATAAAATTAAGTCAGTAGCACATTCTAGACATGTGAAATGAAAAAGACACTTCATTTGCCTTTCTCATCTGTTCTGGCCTAGTAACTGATGTTCAAACTACCTAATTAATCTGTAACCCTGATTCAAAACACCATAAGGACTTTCTTTAAAATGAGGTTTTTATACATAGCTATACACATATGTACAAGCAGTTATGAAGGCCAAAGAAGTCACTCCAAATTTTGGAGCTTTGGGGCTCTATAGATAATATTGGGTTTCAACCAATGATTAAATCTGAGGTAACAGCATTTGGAAGGTCGGCCTTAGCATCATATAGAGGGCAAGTGGAGGGAGGCTATTTTGGCCAAGTATGAAAGCTTCACATTTGGGAAATAATAGTGGCAAAACACACACTCCTGGATTAAGGAAAATAAAATTGAGAGGAGGATATGATTGGAAGAAACCGCTAGAATTCTATAATCCCAGGTTTCTCAGATTAGTAGAGCTGGTGCCAATCTCAGGGTCACCTGTCATCTTGTCAAAGTTTGATAGAGAAGGATGACCCACAGGAGCAGCCTTGCTGTGCTTGAGGATTGTTCAACACTTGGAATGAGCTTCGGATCAGTTCTCGGCTGAAGTCCACCTGTGCGCCTTTCACGAAAGCCAGGCTATCAGAGTCAACTACCACTCTTGCCCCACCCTGTTCAAATACCCTGAAAAGACAGAAGGCAGTAATGAATGTTATAAACATCAAAACCCTCTGAGGCCAGAGGTGCACCTTCTTTTTTTTTTCTGAAACATTCCTTATTACCTCAAAGAGGTGCTGATTTTCTTTGAAGCAAAAAGAGTTAATGGAATAAATTCTGAAAAATAATTTTTAAGAACTTCGGCTTGGAATCTAGTCCAGCTATACTATCTCTGACTATCCTATGGACCTAGGCAGTCAATTTTCCACCTGTAACTTGGTTATATTGAATCAGGACAACAAATGTTCATTCCTCAGTGAGATGGTCACTATTAACCTTTTAGCAAGTCTTTCAATTTGTCCTAACAATGCACACTGAACTGGAGACACTTTCATCCCCCATACATCCTGCGGACCCACCCCTTTCTCCTTGCCTGTCGTCGGGGTTGATAACTGTATCCAGTGAAAATTTGTATTGGAATCCGGAGCATCCACCTCCCTCCACCTGCAGCCTGAGGAATTCTGACCCTTCGGTGATTTCCAGAAGCCTCTGAAATGCAAAAAGGGGATCAAGAGTTCCAAACAGTGGAGGCGTGGGTGAGGGAGATCCCCGCGCTCCCCGCACTCACCTGGGCACCGCCGCCCCGCTACGCCCCCTACCTGGACGCAGCTGTCCGTGAGGCGGATCTGTCCTTCACCAGCCTCGGGGCCGGAGGACGACGCTTCCCGACGTGCCTGAAGTTCCGCAGAGGCCTCGAGGATCCTGTCGCACAAGGAAGAAAGATGCGCCCGGGAGCAGAAGGGGCACCTGGACGACTTCCCGCCAAACCTAGAGACTCCACCTGGACTGTCTCACGCCAAACCCTCCTCTCCTCCGTGGGTCTTAGTTCCCATTTGTCCTGGAGGAACAGACACTAACATCCTTCCCAAGTGCCCTTCCAGCCTCGGTACCTGCTCCTCTGCCGGGGAATGACCGCTCTCAGCAGCGCAGCCGTTACGTACTGACCCCTGGTGGCGGCCATCTTCCTCCACAAACCCCGCCCTGCGCATCGCCCTTATTCCCGCCTCCGCCCGGACTCGGGAGGACTGGAGAGAAGGTCTGTGGGTGGGACCTCAGCGAGACCCCCCCCCCCCGAGCATGCCTATTGGTTAGTCCAGGAAGAGCAGGGGCTTGATTGGCTAGAAATGCTCTCACGGCGGCAGTGCGCCAATACAGACTGGTCGGAGCAGAGCGGCTTCTTCGCAGTCCCGGCCACCAATCGAAAGATGGGCGGAGATAGATCGCTAGCAGGCTCTGGGCCGGGCTCCCAGGGGCGGGACGTGGGCGGGACGTGGGCGGGCCTCAGCGGTGTTTGCTGGGGACAGGTTGCCTGATTGTCCCTCCTCCCCGGCCAGCTCCTACAACTTTATCTTGTGACCGCAGCAGCTGCTTCTTCCTTCCTAGAGCTTGGATCCTCGCTGTCCGTCATGCGTTTCCTGCCCGCCTCCTTACTGCTCCTGGTGTGCATCGCCGCCGCCCAGGCCGAGTCGGTCCGGTACAAGGACTGTGGTGAGGCCCGGGCCCGCCTGAGCTCCTCGCGTCCACTAGGGAAGCCCCGTGCCCTCCCCGGCGTCCCGCGCTGAGACCCCGAGGCTGGGCTGGGCGGGTTCCTCGGACTGGAAGGCTCTGCCTCGGACCCCGGGTGGAGTGGGCTGGGTTGGGGCAGGAGATGCTGTACGCTCTTATGAAACTTGACCGCACACAACTTTTGTCTCTTTCCTTGCAGCGTGTATTTTGGGGGTCCCTGGATTCTCCTAAGATGGACCTGTTGCCAACGGTCTCTGAAGCTTGTAGGGCAGACATCTGAATGTCTGTATCCAGCGCCAGGGTTTAGGAGAGGGGCCCAGAAACTTTTTATTATGTTTTCTCTTGGTTAGCGCGCCCATCCCCCACCCTGCCCCTCCGTTCCTTTTGCCTTTCTTAATTTCCCTTTTGCTGACAAATCAAAAGTCAATTCCCCTTTTCATGATTTATTGTTACAGAATATCTTCCTTTAGACTGGAGTTTTGGGATTCTTAATCAGTTTTCCTCCTGTAAAACTCATGTGTCTAATCGTGTCTTGTGACGCATTACTCCCTCTCAACGCCGTGGTTGGAATCTTTGCTGGAAAATGCAACAGACGGAGAAATTCTGAGTTCATTCGGTCGAGTCTGTAGAATTAACTGTTGGAGCAGAACTGAACAGTTCTGTTGGAAGGTTGGAGGTGGAGAGGTGCAATGATCAATGAAAGACAGGATACGATTTTATAGAAAAGTACCTGAGCCCGAAGGAAACTTGGAGATCAGCTAGTCAATCGTTGAATTCCAGGGACTTCAGTTAGCCTGCCTAAAGTCATATGGCAGAGCAAGTAACCGAGATAAGTTTGCTCCTTTATACTCAGTATCCAGGTAATAATTACTCAATAAAATTTGGAAAAGGTAAATGAGGATATATATATTCTTTCCACTGTGTCATCAAAATTAATGTTGAGTCAAAAACCAAGTTGGGGGACAAGGGGATTGGAGTGATTGAGGAATAAAGACCTCTGGCCTTTTAACACTTAGCAGATACTTTTTCTTTGAGGTTGGAGACTGGCACTTGAAAGATGCAACTATTGCTTCCACCTAATGCCTTTCCCTTCACTAAACTTAATAACCAACATTTGGAAGATAACTCTATTAATTTTATTAACTCATTCATTGTTCACAATCTGTTTTGCAGAAGCAGAAAGTAGGGCACATAGAGTAACTTGCCCAAGGGAAGAAAGGAGGGAAGGAAGGAAAGAAAGGGGGAGAGAGAGAAGAAAGGAGAAGGGAAGGAGGAAGGAAAGAAAGAGCCAGGCATTTAGCTCAGTGGCACTGTGCCTGCCTTGCAAGTGCAAGGTCCTGAGTTTGATCCCCGGTACCAAAAAATGAAAAAGAAAGAAAGAAAGAAGGAAGGAAGGAAAGAAAGAAAGGCAAGGCATGAGGAAGGGAGGGAAAGAGAACTGAAACAAATCTTAAAATTGTTCTGTTCATTTTGGAGGGAAAAAGATACAACCTATGGGAAACCTTCTTAAAGAAGAATTCCTATCACAGATTTTCAATTTACTGGTTTGTTGTTGTTGTTTTTTTTTTTGAGACTCCCTTTGTAGTTCAGGCTGGCCTTGAACTTGTGTAGCCTTGAACTTGTGTAGCCCTGGCTGGTGTAGAATTCATGGCGATCCTACTGCCTCAGCCTCCTGATTGCTGGGACTACAGGCATGCACCACCACGTCTGGCTCTCAATTTACTTTTGAATTGAGAAATACAGTGTAAAAACTTGAGCACCCACATCAAAAGATTTTGCATTCCACTCCACACCCACTTTTCCTTGGAGTGGGACTTGCTCAAGTGAGAAATCAGACCAAGCAAATTAGTTTTGCAATGTTTTCAGGTTAGAGCAGAGAGGGCTTTGTTCTATTGAAGTTCAAGAACATTTTGTCAGAGGGCCAGGTATGTAGCTCAGTGGCACAGTGCCTGCCTAGAAAACTCAAGCCCCTGAGTTCGATTCCCCATACCAAAAAAAAAAAAAAAAAAAATGATGAAAGAGTTATAAGCACTGCACAGCTTTCAAATAAGCAGGTAGAAGCTGGACCTGGAATGCCTCAACATAAGCACTGATTTTCAACAGCTTGTTAATATTCAGGGAAGATGGGATGGAATGAAAGTGAGTGCTTCTCAAAGGTGCTGAGTACGTGTACAGTTTTCAAACTTTTGCTGTGAGGGACAAGCAAGCCTGAGGGTAAGAGACTGCTGACTGTCATTTACAGACCTAGCCAGAGGCTAGGGCAGTGGGTCTTGTGGTGAAGAAGTAATTTAGAGGGACTGTTCACCCTAAGGGCAGGAACAGGCAGCCTAAACAAAGTGCATCTACTTGGCCAGCTCTGTTCCCAATGTCCTTCACAGTACTGAGCTAATCCATGACTGCGCAGCACATAATGTGCTTTCCACCTGCAGTATGCCTGCTGTCTTCATACATTTCTGCTTTTGAGACAGTAAGAGTCCATATTATTAGCTGGAAATAGAATCTCTGTAAATGAAGTGTATTTAGCGAGAGAAGCTCAGCTTTGGTGTCAAAGGGGGACTTGCTAATCCGAGAGCAACTACTCTAGATTAAATTCATGGACTGAATCAAAATATGACAATAACCCTAAGTAGTACTCCTGTGTTCCAGACACTTAGCTAAGAGCTGGATGTGTGTTCCATCACCCATCCTATAAGATGGGGATCCTTTTTATTCCCAGATGTTAAGTGTCTTGAGCTTGCACAGTATGTAGTGGAGCCAGTGAGATTTCAAACCCAGGCAGCAGTCCCCAGAATCCACCTCAGCAAGGTTGGCAGGATGGTAGTGCTTAACTTAACTCTGACACAGACACTGTTACCTCCCTTTCAGCAGTCCAGCCACAGAAGGCTGGATAGAGAAATGAGATTTTTCAAGACTCATACTTAAACACATGTCTGTGTGTTGTGTACAAAAAGCACTTTTGTCCTTGGTTAAATTTTTTTTTTTTTTAAATACACTCTTTGCCTTCGAGACACATGTTAGAGCACATAGGTTTCCAAAGTGAAATGTCCGTCTGTATATTGCAGATCTTATTGGTAGGGGTCCATCGTCAAGCATGAGGGACCACTGACTTGAAAAGATAGTGGGGAGAGATGGAGACATATCGGGAGCAGCTAGTCTCAGATTGCAAATACAAATGGTAGTACTACAACTTGAGTTATCACTGGTGCGATATGTGCTGCTTTACAACCTTGTGTAGGGATAGAAGGGTTTCCCTGGTCTTCATCTCCCAAGATATAGAACAGGCAAACTATTCATATATACTTTATTATTTACAGCATTCCCCTTTACCTAGAGATTAAGAGCAGTTTGTAGCTCCTTTTGGAGAGAGTTAGCTCAGATTTATAGAAAATGTCTAGTGTTGTTCCTCAGTGCTTCTATTAGATGACTCCTGAGCTAAACCTAGTTTATAAATCATAAACCAATTTTTGCAACTGCATAGAAACAACACTGACAGGTCAGATCAATTGTTTCTGACTTTTCCTAGCACTTTCCAACATCTGACTTATTTTTTAGACATTTGTAGTATTTGCAAATGTAATATTTTCAGCAGCAATTTATTCTTTCTTGTGTTTTTTGGTACCAGGGATTGAACTCGGGTCCTTGTGCTTGCGCAGCAGGTGGCAAAACCACTGAGCTAAATCCCTGGCAGCAATTTATACCTAGGCAAGTAAGTACTTCAGAGGAGAAGAAGCTGAGACTCAGTTATATTTTCTAACACAACTGTTATTTCTGATACCTTGGCTGTGTGAATCAGCCATATTTGGCTTAAAGTTTAATTTGGGCCCAAAGTTTTTACTGGAGCTATAAAGACTTTGACCTCTGCCCTCTTCATTTCTTTGATTCTTGAGGGAAAAAATCAAGGTCCTAATGACTTAGTCAAGATCTGAGGTACTGCCTATTATTTTTTCACCTGAAATACTTCATGACTCATTAGTGAGCCTCTTAGATGTCTTCCAGCAGAGAACATGACTGATCATAATGAGAACTCAAGTATTGTGGAGATGGTTCCGTTCCCTGTTGAGAAACAGAGGTAGTATCTGTCCCTCTCCGTCTGTCTGTCTTATTTTGCTTAAAATAGTACAGATTAATTCTCTTACAATTCTGGAGGGTAGGCACCTGACAGTCCCACCAGACTAAAATCAAGAGTGGGTAGGTACGAATTCCATTCTGGAGACTCTAGGGGGAACTCCATCCATTTCCTGGCTCTTCTGTTCTACTATTTTGGGGGGTTTTTTCCTCTCTCTTTTTAAAAATTATTAGTGCATATTAGTTATATAGACTAGTGGGAGCTCCTCTCTTACTGTTGAGGGTTAAGATGATAGTTCCTCTTAAATTCCCTAGTCCACTGACTTGCAGGTGAGTGAACTAATTTAAAAAGAAAAGACTAGATATTCATTTCATTGTTTTACCTGTACCTTAATAATACAGCTTATTTCTTTAGGAAACCAGGTTGGGATGAATGAAGATATTTCAGGAAGATAGAATATGGGCAAAGGGTTTACAAGAAGTTTGGGGGAAGGGTATAAAATCTGGA